ATATATATATATTTTTTTTTTTTTTTTTTTTTTTTTTTTTTTAATTTGTGGTGCTGGGGATGGAACCCAGGGCCTCACACCCGTTGGCAAGGCTGGACCCCAGAGCTGCTCAGGCAGCCCCTGCCTCTGAGCTCTCAACTGGCTGGCTGAGTGGGATGTCAAGGCAACTGGTTTACTGACTTGTTTGCTGTGGCTGAGTTCCTATCTCACCCTGTGAGGCTCGGGGAAGAAAGAAATTAAAGGGCCTGCAAAGGGTTTGTGTTCCCCAGGGGCCACGGGCTTTTCCACATTTATAGCAGCAGCAGTGCAGGCTGTGGGAGAGATTTTTTTCTTCTCTCCTGGTGTTTCACTGCACTCGTTTTATTGGAGGGAATAATGGGTTGGGAAAATAAGGCAGCCGGTGGGAAGGGTTGACTTTCTAATTTAACCCCTCAGCTGCTAGGAGACGGGTCATTTACTGTCATTCACTCAGCTCTGGGGGCAGCTGGCTCAGACAGAACAGGCAGATGGACTGTGACCCTGTCTCTGACATGTGGTGGATGCAGTCCTGCACCCAGAACCCTAGCAGCTCACCGCAAACTCAGTATGACCTTGAACTAGCCCTCCTGGGTCCTCAGGTTCTTCTTCTCTAAAGTGCTGGGTGGAGGGTTGGACTGAATCAGCTTGGCAGACTCCAGTACCTCTGGCTGGGTGCCAGGCAGGTATAGTCAACTCAGGAAGCTAGCTTGGGAATGCTCTGGTCAAACAGGAGCCTCCGCCCTCCCTCTGTCCAAGGTCATTTGGATTGTGAATCTTTACTGTCACTCTACAGGAAAACTCATTGTCTTTGCACCAGATCTAAATACTAATATCAGACATTTATAGGTCACCCACTATATGGCCAGATATTAGTGCTTTGCACATATTCATTTATTTCATCCTTATAATCACCTGATGAGCTAGGTAATTGACATGAGCGCTGTTGTTATCTGAAATTCACAAATGAGGGCACTAGAGAATAAGAAATTCTGAGCAACCCCACCAGTGACTATACAAGACTAGGAATATGGATGGTGCTTTTTTTTTTTTTTCATATGAGAGATTGAACTCAGGGGCACTCAACCACTGAGCCACATCCCCAGCCCTATTTCGTATTTTATGTAGAGACAGGGTCTCCCTGAGTTGCTTAGTGCCTCGCTGTTGCTGAGGCTGGGTTTTGGATGGTTTTTTTAAGACTAATCCGACATCCGGCCCAGAGAGGCCACACTGTGTTCAGAGAAGATACTCAGAGACTTTGATGAGGAACAGGGACCTCAGAAGTGTTCCCTATGGCTTCTGTTTGTACTGTGGCGAATACACCTATTACCAGCTCCACACTTCAGAATGTTGCTCACTGGCATCGAAGACATTCACATTGTCATGCAGCCGCCGCCACCATCCTGTCTCCAGGGCTTCCTCATCTTCCCAAGCTGAAACTCTGTACCCATTAGACACTTCCCTCCTCATATCCTCTTCCTCCAGCCCATGACAACCACCATTCTACATCCTGTCTCCACGAATTTGACCACTCTAGGCACTTCACACAAGTGAAATCACTGCAGTGTTCAGTGTTTTTGTTGTTGTTGTTGTTGTTGTTTTTTGTGACTGGCTTATTTCACTCATCATAGCATCAGGGTCCATCCACATTGTAGCATGTGTCAGAATTCCTTTTTTACGATTGAGTAATATGCCACGTTTGTATGTGTGTCTACATATTTTGTTTATCCAATCACCCATCTCTAGACACTTGGGTGGCTTCCACCTTTTGGCTGTTGTGAATACTGCTGCTATGAACATGGGTCTTATTGATTTTTTTTTTTTTTTTTTTGGTACCAGAGATTGAACCCAGGGCCACTTAACCACTAAGCCACATCCCCAGCCCTTTTTATTTTGTATCTTGAGACAGGGTCTTCCTAAGTTGCTTAGGGCCTCACTAAGTTATTGAGGCTGGCATTGAATTCATGATCCTCCTACCTCAGCCTCCCGAGCTGCTGGGATTACAGGTGTGCACCACTGCGCCTGGCTGGGTCTCACTTTTAATGAAGAATAAAAACCCATGGATAACTGGGCACAGTGGTGCACATCCTGTAGTTCCAGCTACAAAAGAGTCAAAGGCAGGTGAATCACTTGAGGCCAGCCCAAGCAACAGAGTGAGGCCCTTTCTAAAAAACAAAACAACAACAACAAAAACAGATGCATAGGTGGCCTAGCAGGGAGGCAGAGCCTAGAGAACAACAGGAGGAGGAACTTTTCAGTGATAAGAGCCCTTTCCAGGGCTGCCTCGGGAAGTAGCCAGCTTCCCTTCACAGGGCTGAGAGCCTTCTTGTTGGCTACTTGACCGCAGGTGTCCCCTTTGGGAAGAGAAGGCTGGCTGGCTCGTGATGCCGAGTTCCTTCCCTCTGAAGGCTTCAGCCTGGAGGGGAGCTGGTGGCCCCCCACCTCCAGCCAGTTGAGCTGGCCCAGCTTGCTGCTCCCTGCAGCAGGGGCACCCGACTCCTATTTTGTTCCGTCTCTTGGCAAGGTCCCTCTGTGGGCAGAGACCAGCAGGGGACAGTGTTATCCTGCCATCTGCTTCTTAGCATAGAACATGTCTGCAAGCAAATTGAGACTTTCCACCTAAAGAGGGGCCACATGTGGCCCAGCCCATCTTTTGTGAAGGCAGGGCTTGTGGGTCAGTGAAGAACAATGAGGAACAGGGAGGAGGGGACAAGGATTTCTCCCTGTTCTTGGCAGCTTCCCCCACGTCCTGCTGGCTCTGCTGGCGCTGTCATAGACGGCATTGTCCATGCCAGGGTTCAGGGTCTCCGTGAATTTGAACTAAGGGATGTTCTTGTAACCTCCAAGGAGTGTGAGATGTGCCCTGGAGGGGACCCTGGGGCAGCCAGCCAGGGCAGATGGGGTGGGTGGGGGAGAACAGAAGTCCCCCTGGCCGTGCCCAGTTGCCTCCTTCCCTGGGCCGCTGTGTTCCAGGAAGCTCGCAGGCTGGTTCTGGGCTGTGTGCTCACATCTGTAGAAATGGAATAAGGCTTTGCGCTGCAGGAGTGCCCCTTAAAGGAACCCTGTGGTGAAGTCTTTTGTAAAGTGAAAAATCCTTTTGTAAGGTGAATAATTATACTGTTGATCTGCCTTGGTGGTTCAGAGTTTTCTGAGATTCTCAGGGGAAAGAGAGACTTGTTTGGAGGCCATCTGGCCCGCCCCCTTCTCAATGCCTGATTCTCCTCTGGAGCAGCTCTGTCTGAGTGATGAAGTCCCTGTTTGGAACCTTCAGTGATGGGAAACTCACTACCCCCACCCCGCGCTGGATCATTCCATCTTTGGACAGTTCTGCTTATCAGATGTGAAACTGACCTTACACTAGAAGATGCATCTAAGGGAAGTTGGTTTTTTGGTTTGGTTTGTTTTGGTTTGGGGTTTTTTTTTTTGGTACTGAGGATTGAACGCAGGGTGCTTAACCACTGAGCCACATCCCCAGCCCTTTTTAAAAATATTTTACTAGAGACAGGATCTTGCTGAGTTGCTTAGGGCCTCACTGAATTGCTGAGGCTGACTTTGAACTCATGATCCTGCTGCCTCAGCCTCCCAAGCTGCTGGGATTAAGGGTGCCACCCTGGCCTCTGGGAAGTTTTTATCTATGGAGTCTCCTATTTGCAGTTTGTGCTGGATACATCCTTTCCTCATGTTGACTCACTTGATGCTTGAAAACAGTGAACTTGACCCCTGAGTCTTTGAGCTGAAAGATCCTGGTTTTCTCATTTGTTCTTCACAGGCAGGATTTTGAGTTCTTTTATCATCTTGATGATGATGGTTCTGCTTTGATTTGCTTGATGTGCTATTCCACATCATGTTCCATCATATCCCTTGTCAACTGCAGACACAGTGCTATCTCAGGTGCTATTTCACAGTGATGTCTGAGGAGGAGGACACGGGCTCTGGTCTCCTGAGATGTAGATTCTCTACTTCTGTTAGTGGACCTCAAGAGTTTTTATGACAGGGGCTGGGGCTCAGCAGTACTGCACTTGCCTGGCATGTGTGAGGCACTCGGTTTGATTCTCAGCACCGCATATAAAAAAATAAAAAATCTATCAACAACTAAAAAAAGGTGTTTTTTAAAAAAAGAGTTTTTATGACAGGGATAAACTTACCTTCGTCTAAAATCTCAAAAGTCCTGCTGGTGTATTCTGCTACGAAGGCCCAGCTCTCTCAGGAGTTCATGGAGGTGATTTCTTTAAATGTCCGCTTTTCATCCCTACCTGCAGAGGAGCAGCCTGATCTTCAAGTAATAAATCTCTCTCCTTTTTCTCTAGAACTGGTCAGGCATGAAGTGCCAGTTCAAGCTGCTGCGTATGGCTGTGGCCTTGGTCTGTAGTAAGTACTGATGGGGGGCGGGCTGGGGAGAACACCAGGCATTGGGTCCTAGGGATACAGAGATGTCACAGTCCTTGCCTTTCAGGGGCAAAGGCTTGTGATCAAGAAAAAAAAGTGAGACACATTAGTACTGACCAACAAGGTGGGGGGGGGGGGGGAGGAGTGAGGTGGTCTGTCCCTCTGCACTGCTTCGTCACCTTTTCTCATCTTTTTTATGGACATAAAATATGCAAACAGAAGAGTTCTCAGTGACCAGAACCCAGATCAAGAGAAATAGCTTCTTGACCTTTTGCATCATGGAGTTGTTTGAGATCCACCATTGGAAGTCAGAGACCCCTTCCTCAGAATACATGTGCATATATGTGCATACACACACATGCACATTAAAACTTGCATTTTTATCAGTTTCACAAGCTATAACTACTCTGTGAGCCCCTATGAGCAGGATGTGCTGGAGGCTATAGTCAGGAGAGGTCAGTTCTACCTACAGAGGTCTTGTGAGTGTTAAAGGCAAGCAGGTATATAGCAGGGAGATGAGGTGCCAGAGGCATGTTGGGCAAAGGTGCACTGTGAACTGAAGCACAGGTGGGTGTGAAGGTCATTGGCTGGCACACTGACTGTCAAAACTCACTAAGGAGGCTTGGGACTGTGTGTGGCTGTGACCGGAGATAAAGCTAGTGAGATCCTGGAAGTCAGATTGGAATGTTTTTAAAGGCAAGAGGAAAAAAAAAAAATGTGCTTCCTCCCCAGTGTACTGGGAGGTCACTGGAGGACTCCATAAGAGGGAGAAATAGATTTGAGGTTTAGAAAACCAGTCAGGATGCCATGTGGAGGGTGGGTAGTGTGAGAGGGATGAGACCAGAGGTAAGGAGCATGTCCTGAGCCTGAACAGAAGCAATGGAGGTCCAGGAAGAGAGAAGGGAGACACACGCTCTCTCCTTTCATCCTCAGAAGATGCCTTCAGAGAGCCTATCATTAAGTCAAGTCACAAGTAGGAACTTAAAGCTCAGAGAGTTAAGCTTCTGGCTCAGGGTTGCCCAGCAAAGAGGTGATAAATCCAGAATTCAGAGCCAATCTGTGCCGTTTCGAATGCCCATGCTTTAGCCAAGCTGAGCGGTGAGCGCCTGGCTTTCTCAGCCTGGGGCAGCTCCCTGCTGCAGGGCCAGGCCTGTGAGGGCTCCCCTCTAATGTACGTCCACATTCCTTGCCTCTGGCCCCATGGCTCTCAGGAAATCACGTCTGTCCCTGACCCACAGAGGGGCCCTCTGGATCTGTTTCCTGGATGAGACTAGAGGATTTCTAATCCCAGAGAGAACTTTTCAGACTTAAAACCCTTGACTCTGAGCAGGGGACCAGGGGCGGGAGCATGGGTGAACTCTGCCGCTGTGTCTGTCCAGACTCTGCCCTTCACTTGCTTTCAAAGAAGGAAGGAGAAGCGTCATAAAAACTAAAATGCTGTTTTGGAGTTGGGAACCATTGGTTTTAATGCTCCTGTATTGAACCCAGGACCTGTTCAGCAGAGGCAGAAAGGCTTCCCTGGGGGCTGGGTGGAGTGGGGGGAGCTGAGCCTCAGTCCCCAGCTGCTCTTTTTCCACCACCTATTGGCCACCTTGGGAGTTGCAGGGCCAGTGCAGAAGGTGGGGCAGTCCCCAGGGGAATGCAGGTCCCTGGCAGTTCTGGCACTCCAAAATGGTTAGGGTAGAGAGGCCCACTGGTTAACTAAATGGTAATGGAACAACTGCAAACCTTCCCCTCAAAGGGCTTTCTTTCGGTCTGTAGGTTTGCCTTGGTTTCCTCACCTGTTAAGTGGGAAAGTGAGCTCTCTGTGCTCCTTTGGTGTTGGGAAATGAGGTTGCCTCATACTTGTCCCTTCAAGACATCCCTATTTGGCCCACCCAAAAAATTCACAAAAAAAGGAAGGATCGGAGAGCAGATGGTGGTATCTTAGAATTGTCTTAGGGAGAAAGTCCAGAAATTCTCTGGGATGAGGGTGGAGTGAGGATCGCTTACTTCCATTCCTTCCCTCTTTGTCCTTGTCCCTCTCCATCCCTTCCTCCTAACCACAAAAGCAGTGGTTCTGAGAGTTTTCTGAGGGTTTTGAGATAATGCATGAAAACACAGCATGTGCTGGGCACATATTGAAGTTGCTAACAGGCTCCACCAGTGCAGCCTGGCGCACCGAGGCTGAGACTTCCTACAGTTGGACAACCTGGGATCCGGGCCCCAGGACTTGGTGCAACCTCAGCTTTGCCAGGGCCTTTGGGCTTGCAGTCAGCCCCTGCCCTCTCCCGGGAACACCCTCCTCGGGCTCTCAGGGCAAGACCCCTCTGAATACTCAGATCACAGATTAAAGATTGCCTCCGGAGGACCTACCAGACTCCCTGAAGAGTCCCCTCCTTATGCCCGGCATTGACTTTACGTCACCTATTTTTTCCCCATAGATGAATCTCTTAATGAAATTGTCTTACGTGTGTAATTGTTGGCTGGCTTATCACCAGGCCCCATGAGCTCTGGGAGAACGGTTTTGTCCGTCTCCTTGATTCTCGTGTCCCCAGTGCCTTAGATGGTACTCGGCCTCACAGCCATAAACGCATTAATCAGAGGGTGGTGGTCTGGGGTGCGAGGCCTCTGTCCCTGCAGCCCCCGCCCGGGGCCCTCCTGTGACTTCTCTGTGCTTCCTCCTCCTGCAGTGAGTCTGGAGTTCGGGCGGGCCGTGTGGCTCCGCTTCCACCCGTCGGCCTACCCGCCCTGCCCTCACCCGAGCTTCGTGGCACACCTGGGTGGTGTGGCCGTGGGCATCACCCTGGGCGTGGTAGTCCTGAGGAACTATGAGCAGAGGCTGCAGGACCAGTCGCTGTGGTGGATTTTTGTGGCCATGTACACCGTCTTCGTGCTATTCGCCATCTTCTGGAACATCTTTGCCTATTCTCTGCTGGACTTGAAGCTGCCACCGCCCCCATAAGGGGCTGAGGACGGAGGAGGTGGGGAGGGGAGGGAGAAGCAGCATCCAGAGGGAGCACCTGGATCTTTTTCTCATCACCAGCTCAGTGAAGCCAGAGAGGAAAGGCAAGGACTCCGCTGCTACTGCGATGTTTGTGTTTTGATACGGGCACACGGTGGGGCCTCTTTTTGAAAGGCACTGGAGGAGGAGTTGGATATGGCTGCTGTCATTTTTCTAGCCTGTTCTGGTGACATCAGGCCTAGGTAAAGGCCTGGGGTAGGGTGAGAAGCTGCCCTGTGGGCTGGCTGGTTCCATGTGCTGTCCTTTCCTGGCCACAGGAGGGGCAACAGCTTTGTCCCTCATCCTCCACCCCGAGAGACCCTGAGAGACATAGGGAAGGTCGGAGGGTCTCTGTGGCCAGGTAGTGTTTCCTCTGTTTACTTTTTTTTTTTTTTTTTTTTTGGTACTGGGGATTGAACCCAGGGGCACTTTACCACTGAGCCACTTCCCCAGCCCTTTTTATTTTTTTATTTTGAGGCAGGGTCTTGCTCATAAGTTGTTGAGGTTGGCCTTGGATTTACAATCCTCCTGCCCCAGCCTCCCAGTTTGCTGAGATTACAGGTGTGCGCCACCACACCCAGCACAGTGTTCCCTCTGGAGTCCAGGTCTGGAGTTCTGGGGTGGAAAGAAGGCCCAGTGGTGGATGTGTTGGCTTTAACCTGAGAGATACTGGGGGGGGGTACCCTCCTGGGCCAGCCAGTGGTTACTGGGGCATGACCTCTAGGGCCTGTACTGGACAAGGCAGGGAGATCTGTAAGCTCCAGATCCCGCTCTAGCCCTGGGGGATAGTGAGAGAGCCCCAAGCTGGGGGAATAAACCTCAGCCCAAGTTCCTTCTGGGGAAGCCCCAGGACCAACTTTCAGCCTCTCCCTCCCTTTCATCCTGGATGCTGACTTCACACACCAGCTGCCCAGCAGCTGCACCTGCCTTGACTTTAGGGTCTATTCTTTCCCTTCTACTGCCCTGACCCGACTTTGTGCCTGTCCTTTTGGTATGGAGACAGTGTCCAGGTGTGAGTGAGTGACCGTGTGTGTAGGGAAAGATGATGTGGGGCAAGCTGGAGCCTGGAGAGGAAGTCACATGAGGCGGTGGGTGTGTGGGGAGTCTAAGAGGAGGTACAGGGAGCCCTGGTGTGCTGTGGTGTGGTTACCGGGTGTCCTTGTTTTTAGAAAAGCCTGCCTCCCTTGTTTCCCATCTTCTGTCCCTTCCAGACATTCCCTGAGCATCATTGACCTGCAGGAAAATTATCTCTGCTCTAGGGCGATCTTGGGCCCTCTCAGCCCTTGGATTGCTAAGAAGAAATGCATCCAAGTTCTGCTCCTTTCTACCTCTGGCATAGCTTTCCGATCCGAAAATGTCCTGTCTTGTTCTGTCTCCCTGAGAAGAGAATCTTTTGGGGTGCAAGAAAGGCTCGGGCAGGACTATTGAGGCTATGTGTCCATTTGAGTTAGGGGGACAGGTGGCTGCAGTGAAGGACATTCTAGTTTAGGTGGAACATCGCTCCAGAGGAGCCTTGTTCGGGGCTTGGATGAGTGTCCAGGGCAAGAGCAGCCTGGGGGTGCAGCTGCTGAGAGCTGGGGGGGAACCGAGGACTATGGAGACCCCTCACCCTTGCTTCACAAATAGGCAATGAGGCTGGGGGAATGACTTCACCCCACCCCCACCACCTGGCAGCCCCAGATGCCAGGACAGGTGAGAGCAGAAGCCCCGCCTCCCAGCAGGGCGCCAGCTGCCTCTCCCCTCCTGGAAGGGAGGGCAGCATTCAGGCCTGCGCTGGAGGAGCCACTGCAGCCCTGAGCCAAGGGTGTTCGGTGGGTGACCTTTCACAAAATCTGTCCTTCCCTTTATACTGCTTTTGGAAGTCTAACTCTCCTGAAAGGACAAAGAACCCCAGGCCTGGAGGCAGAGGGGCTGCAGGGTCAAGGGCAGGAGTGTGGGGCTGCCTTCCATCAGCCTTGTGCCCAGCAGAGCCTGTGTGCAGTGAGGTCCAGGGTCAACCAGGCAGGTGTCTGGGGGTCCCTGGCCACTGTCGCTTCCTGAGCTAATGACTGTATGGAAACGGGAAGGTCTTTCTACCCCAGGACACACTCACTCATAGTCTATGCCAGGCCCTTCCCCATCTTTGCTCAGCACTAACTACATTGTCCTGGTCCCCCACGTATGGCCTCAAGGTCACACTAGTGCCAATTCTGCCAAGGACTGCCAGTCAGCCTGAGGCCACGTGGGCTGAGTCACATCAGCCTGGAACATCTATTCTGTGTCCTGCCTGCCATTCGCTGCCCTGGGACGATGTGGGTGGAAGGGTCTGCTGCTTAGGAGAGGGTGCCAAGGCCGTGGAGCCTGGGCCAAGACTTGAGTAAGGATCAAGAGGGGCCAGGACCCATGCCTCTGTCCCTGGGCTACAGCAGCAGCTAAGCTTGAATGCTTCTGTCCCTTTCTGGAGGGAAGAGGCAGCTGGGCCCTGCTGTCCTGGCACTTGGGGCTGCTGGGATGAGTGGGGAGCCAGCAGAGCTCCATCTTGTCAGGTGTGGCTCAGAGGCAGGGAACTAGACTCTAGTGAGCCCTCAGAAGCTCCCAGCTCCTTCAGGGCTTCAGATAAGAGCTTGTTTCTGGAAAGGGCAGTCTCCTCCCTCCCTCCTCTCACCCTGTTAAGTCCACCCTCAGGGCCTGGAGCTCTGGAAGGGAGTCTCATCCAGAGCTCAGGCCACCAGCACCAGCTGTTCCCTGCCACCGTCTTCTCCCAACCACCACTCCCAAGCAGGGCCACAGATCACGGACAGTGGAGTCACTTCACAAGATCCAGACAGGTTTATTTCTGGGGCTCTGGCCTTCTCCTCAGGAGGGGCCCGTGCTCCTGTGCCCTCTCCAACCCTCAGCAGCGCTTGCCCAACTGGCCTCGGGCCTCTTCCCTTTGTCCCACCTTCCTCTCCTGTATGGCTACCAGCCAGGACGCTGGGCAGTAGACGACGGGTACATCTTCAGGCTACTGGAGGGAGGTCCGCCTGTCTGTCCTGGAGCACGGAAATTGAGAGCTGGGGAATCCCCAGACAGCGGCCACAGGCGCCTGGCTCCTTAAACTGGAGAGGAATCTCAAACTGGGGAAGGGAAAACAGGCCTTCAAAGGAGAGATTTCACTTTAATGACACCATTCATCATTCGTTTTTTTTAATTAGGAAAAACTCCCTAATGAGGCTCTTTTGGCAGCTAATGGGACTCTCAATTTCCATGAGAACCATTATTGCCCAGAGCATTAGGGGAACCACTGCTCACCACACCAGGACTTTCCTCCAGAGTGCAGATGCGATGCGGGGAATCCCTCTCCCGCATCATGGGTGTTGCTCCCAAGCTGGCTGCAAAGCACTGGCCGATTCTCCTCTGCCTTAAAAACAGTGCCCAACAGTGAACTGCCCCCCCCACCCCCACCGCCCCAGGACTTGAGTAAGTGGGAGGAAAAAAGAAAAAAAACAAACTGCAATGTTGGTTTCTAAATATTTTTGTATTGTGTACATTCTGTATATTTTTGTTGTAACATATTATTTGAGCACAGATTCCATTAAAGATTTTTTTTTTTAAGTCATTGGTTATTCAGGATGTGTCCTGAGGGCTGGTACGGGAACCTGTTTTTGTCTGGGCCTGGGTCAGGGTGGGTGGGAGACGGTGAGGGACAGTGGTGGGGGATTGGCAGTTCATAAACATGGAGGGAGCATGGGGGGTTGGTGCCAGTGTTTCTTTCTTCAACTTTACTGAATTGCTGAGCTCATTTCAGTGGTTGGTGAAAGCCCTGATTGCTCTTCCCATCAAATGCATATACAAAGACGATTTTGTGGATGATTTTTGAGGTGGGTGGCAGTGGATGAGGAAAGTCACTCCTGGCTTCAGGTCAGGAACCTCTAAGCCAGTGTCCTGGTGGGTGCCCCCGGCCTTCCCTTCCACTCATGTATCCCTAGGACAGATTCATACTGTAATCATCATCATGAAATCTTTGAAATGTCCTCGGGATTCCTTCTTCATCTTGAAGACTAGTCTTCAGGTCCTTCTTGGGGCCATCAGCATCCTAGCCTTGAGGAATGGGATGTTCTCAGGGTTAGGAGGGTAAGCTGAGTTCACAGACAGAAAAGGAAGGAGCTTGACAGTTAGGGGTGGAGTCCAGGTCAGGAAGAGAAACTGTCAAGCTGGCTTTGAGTGGATGAGGCCTGAGAAAGTGGAGTTTCCACTAACTTCTCTAAATCGGGGCCAGTGTATGTCCTGTTGTCATTCTGTTAACTTCTGGTTTGAGGATTAAACTGTCCTGTTAAATTCATCAAGAGGGTTGTCTCTCCCAAGTATTCTTTCAGGTCAGTTTCCTGTGTATTATTTTAAAATATTTCTAAATGCTGCAGAAGCCACCCCAGAACAAAGAGTGTGGTTCAGGCTTAACAGTCAAAGGAATCACTTCTATCTGGAGTGTGGATAACTGACTTCCCTAGAAGGAAAATCAGACCCTATCAGAGCACAGGTGTTCCATTGGGTCAATGCCAGGCTCCAGTATTTGAGGCATTTCAAGGCAAGCTCCTTGAAGAGGTTAGGCCTTCTTCCATTTCACTTTTTACTATTCTGGTTCCTTCCTTCTATCAGATTCTCATTTTTCCAATAACTTTTTTTTTTTTTTTTAAAGAAAGAGAGAGGGAGAGAGAGAGAGAGAATTTTTTTAATATTTATTTTTTAGTATTTGGCGGACACAACATCTTTGTCTGTATGTGGTGCTGAGGATGGAACCCGGGCCGCACGCATGCCAGGCAAGCACGCTACCGCCTGAGCCACATCCCCAGCCCTTTTCCAATAACTTAACAAGGTATAATAATAATGAGATAATTAAGAAATGAAAACAGTGCTAGAGATATGACTCAGTGGTAAAATGCTTGCCTGGCATGTGCAAAGTCCAGGGTTCAATCCCCAGCACTACAAAAATAAAAACAATAAAAAAATATTTTTGCCAGGTGTGGTGACACATGCCTGAAATTCCAGTGGCTTGGGAGGCTGAAGCAGGAGGACTGCAAATTTGAGGCCAGCCTCAGCAACTTAGCAAGACCCTAAGCAACCTGTCTCAAAAATAAAAAATAAGGGAGATGTAACTCAGTGTTTGAGTGCCCCTGGGTTCAATTCCCAGAACTGAAAGGAAGAAAACAAAAACAATTTTACTGAACACCTACTACGAGCTAGCCACTGGAGTAGATCACAGCCACTTTATGTGAAGAGGATAAAAACATCCCCGTGGTTGTACACAAGGGGAAGGTAACCCAAGATGTCTGGTTCCATGCTCTCAGCCCTCAGATATTTTATGGGACTTTAAAGACACTAACCATGTAGACGTGTCAGGGTATTTATTTAAAGGGCAAACCTCATTGCATTAGGGCCATGGCCATTCAGTAACAATAAGGAACCTTGGATCATTTGCTTGGAGTTCACTCAATAGGCCCTCCACTTTGTTAGCCCTCCCAGAAGTAGCTCGCAAGAAACCCCACAGCTGTCGATCCATTACTGCTCTCCGTTAACCCTGATTTCCAGAATCTTGGCATTTATGCCACCTCAGCAATCTGTCCACATGATTCAAAGTCTCTGAGGCAGTCAGGAACTTCACCAGTTAGAGAACGCAGCTGCCCTCTGAGACCACCAAGTAGAAGAATGCATTGAAGCCATGAGAAGGCACATGGTTAGGACAACTTGGTCCCAGAGACTGAATCTCATTTCTGAGAAGTCTGCAGTCTCGCCTAGCATCTGCTATAAGTGATCCTCTGGTAAAGGACAGGCATTGTCACAGTTAATAGTAAGAGTGAGGGCTGCGATTGTGGCTAGGCGGTAGAACGCTCGCCTAGCACATTCAAGACCCTGGGTTCGGTCCTCGGCAACGTATAAAAATAAATAAAGGTATCGTGTCCCAACTACAACTAAAAATATATTTTAAAAATAATAAGAGTGAGAGGACATGACTTGGGCTATTGTATTCTACAGATATAACTTTACTGGACAGTGAATAAAATATTGTGATAAAAATTGCTCTTACACTTCCTGGGGCAGGATGCAGAAAGGTGTATCTCAGCAGGTGATTTGATTTTCTCCAACACATTCTTAGCATAACAAGTTCCCCACAAACTTTCTGGGAATTAATTCAAGGGTAAGGCCTGAGAATTGAGCTCATGAAGTAAAAATGGCTATCTTGATTAGAAGCTAAGTTTTATTACAAATATAATTACAGATAAACAGACTATTTTGGGTACATGATAAACATACATTTTACCTGTGTGTATACCACATAAATAATACATAAATTTATTCCTGTCTGAACAAATACTTTTTACAACTTTATTACTTTTTTTTTTGGGGGGGGGGTACTGTGGATTGAACTCAGGAGTACTTTACTACTGAGCTACATCCCAGCCCTTTTTATTTTTTAATTTTGAAACAGGGTCTCACTAATTTCCCAGGCTAGTCTCAAAATTGCAATTGCCCTCCTTCAGCCTCAGTAGCCAGGACTACAGGTTTGTGCCACCACACCTGGCACTTTGTACAACTTTAAACATTAATACATTAGCTTACTTAAATTTGGATACAAATACTCATTTCTTGTCATGAGCTCTGAGTTTCTTCTCATGATCAACACAGTATCCAATTTCATAACATCATTCTGTCTATAATAGTGACACAGAATGTCAGACTTTTAAAAATGACTACTGTCTACAACTGTAATATATAGTGAGTATATATATACAAACAGATGATATGGTTATACCTTGCCTATATCTGTAAGTAAGTTGAAACATGTAATACATTTGCTTTATCATTATTTTACTATTGTAGTACTAGGGATTGAATCCAGGGATACTTTTCTACTGGGATATAATCCTCAGCCCTTTGAGACCCTATGGTTTTGCTAAGTTGCTCAGGCTGGCCTTGAACTTGTGATCCTCCTGCCTCAGTCTCCCCAAGTCGCTGGGATTAAAACATGCACCACTGTGCCAAGCATTTGCTTTTAACAGCCATTTACAACATGGACTCTTGAATGGCATATAAATTTGAAAATTAAAACTATATTTTCCAGACTCAACATGTTGTTTATTTAAAAACCTAACTTCCAAATGGACAACCAAGTGCATTAGAAAAAGATAGAAAACAAAACAAAACAAAAAAAGATTCTAGAGATTCCAAGATAGTGTCATAAAATTGCAGATCTTCCATAGTCATCCTGAATACTTTTATAAAAAATGCTACTTAGGGGCTGGGATTGTGGCTCAGTGGTAGAGCATTCGCCTAGCACGGGCGGGACCGGGGTTCGATCCTCAGCACCACATAAAAATAAAGGCATTGTGTTGTGTCCATCTACACCTAAAAAATAAATATTTTTTTAAAAATGCTGCTCAGATTTTTTTCCATACTGCCTATAATCTGTTATTAAACTTTAAAACCATATGAAAGCATTTATGAAGATCCTGAATTGTATTTCTCGTTAAACAAAAAGTAAGGGCTTGGTGAGTCATGTTCCTAGACTTACTTCTGTAGAGGAGAAAGCAGAAGGCCATTGTCGGTCATTTTGAAAGTTAAAACTCAGCACTTAACATGAATTTACAGCCATTTATGAGTTGCTCAGTTTTACAGGCTTGTGTTCCTCTGAACGTCCTGAAGGCAGTGAGAACATAAGACTTCTGATCTTCTAAACAAAAATCATTATCAAATGAATTTATTAAAGAGCTATGCAGAACAAATATGTGTGTAGCTACCATTGGCTTCCATGGGAATTATAAATGGCTAGCTGAGGGCACTGTGAATTGATTCAGAGTAAAACAATCTGAGGTTTGTAATAAATATACAAAAACTAAAATCAATGAATAACTCTGATACGAAGAATCTCTGTTTGCATTCCTTATCTTACAGTTTGTTTGTAAAACTTATGTACTTTATTTCTTCACACTATTTAAAAACTCTGGCATTTTCATCTAAAAGAAAAAAAATACTGGCAACTATCTGTGGACAAATTAATGAAGAAAAGTGGTGACGGGTGGGCGCCAGTTCTGCAGCCGCTTTCCATCAGAGCTAACGTTTTATCTTGCAGCTAGTGCATCTATTTTTGAAGCTTATGTAATTTCTTATATACTTATGATTTGTTTGCATATTGACTTAAAAGCTGGCTTCATCATCCAAGCCAACTATTAATCAGACCAAAAAAAAAACTGTATCAGGTACCTGCAGGATGCAAGATGCACAAATCTATGAAATGGTGTAGTGGTACTAATCTTTCTGTGACTGGAATTACGTATTTAAAAAAGAAGCTATAATCTATTGAGAAAAAAAGTGCTATGAATTTTTTTCTGAGAAGAAAAATTGTAAATACTGCAGCAAACTTTTGAGAGAAGCCGCAAAATCATCTCTGAAGTTTCTGAGGCAACACATTTCTTTTTTATTATTTATTTATTTTTGGTAACAGGGATTGAACCCAGGGATGCTTAACCATTGTGCCATATCCCCAGCCATTTTTATATTTAATTTAGAGACAGTCTTGCTATGTTGCTTAGGGCCCTCACTAAGTGACTGAGGCTGGCTTTGAACTTAGTGATCCTTCTACCTTAAACTCCCCAGCCACTGGGATTACAGGTGTGCATCATCACCATGTCCACTTAGGCAACACATTTTTGAAGTTTAGAATTTATGGGAGCAACAATAGACCAAAATTCCACAATTCTAACACACATATCGATGTAGGACTCAATGAAGATATTCCTCAGATTTTTATGTTTAATTAAGTTAAAATTTTTAAATACAAAAAGAAAAAACAATCTGGTATAATTCAAATAATCCTAAACAGTAATCCTATGAACAATTATTAACAACTGCAATTTCAAACGCCAAGGCTTGAATATACAACTTCACGAAGTAGTTGTCTCAAACATGATCAAAAACCTTGGGCAAGAGCTTCTTTCATGAATTCTTCAAGGACAGCTACCACATTTTTGGCTTCAGGCATTTCTTCGTGTTCCACTTTAACAATCTTCAAAAGGATATCTCCACTACCACAGTTCTTTAGGAACATGTAACATTTAAACAAAGCATAATGATTCATTTCTGCCTGTCGGATAAATCTCTTCAAATTGTTTGTGTCTTGTATGGCCTAGAAAAAGATTACCTAGTTAAATATGTGTGTAGTGGAATAATAATGAAGCTTGAAAAATATCTCCTATCCAGCTGAGAACTCAATATATGTTCTAGATTGTTTGCTTTTCATCTTAAACATTTCTATCATCTTTATTGTTAAAATGCTTTACCCTTGGCAGAGCAAAATCTCATATGTAAGTAAAAATACTTAAAAATCTCCTAAATAAGGTGAAAACACTCCCGTCAGAATTTTGAACCACTTTTTTTTGTGTGTGTGCTTTGCAACTAAAATACATCAGTAAGCTTCCTTAAATAAAAGCAGGCTTTCAACCCAATTTATTGGAAGTGATGAAATTATATGTATGCAGAAGCTACTGAAAAATTAAAAGCCTTCTGATGATTCGTTTTAAGAACATCTTGTTTAATAGACATCACAACTGCAAAACAGATTTATTATTCTATCACGGGTACTAATTAAAATGCAGACAAAAAACTGTATGTGGCCCTTGGCACACAGTCAATTAATTACCTTTAATTTAAAGTTCTCCAGTACTTGTCGGAAAAGAAAAGGGTTACCCCCTTCAGCACCATTTAAGAAAGCCTGCATCCAATCCTCGCAAAACCGGTTGCTTCCTACAAAATATTTAGAGAAATTAAATAAATAAAAATGCTATCCTACAAGACAGTTATTTCTTTTTTTTCCCCTTTTTAAATTTCTTTTAGTTGTAGTTGGACACAATATCTTTATTTTATTTTTATGTGGTGCTGAGGATCGAACCCAGGGCCTTGCACGTGCTAGGTGAGCTCTACCACTGAGCCACAACCATAGCCCCAAGACAGTTATTTCTTTATAACAACATTTATACTGAACTTTTCAAATATTAAATTTTTTATCATATTTATTTGTAATGACTTTTATAGTGATCTAAAAACTAGTGTGCTCCCCATATGGCTAAGAAATATGAAGAGGGCTGAAGCACCCCCACCTTCAAGTGTGTTTAAATCATAGCCCCTTCTTTCCCATCAGAAAGGATTATGATTCCCATATATTTCTCTAAAACTTTTGCTATATCCCTTTGTATCTCTAAGTTATTATTTTGCGTATGTAAAAACCTTTATGTTTTTTTTTTTTTTTTTTTTTTGGTACCAGGGATTGAACCTGAACCCATGGGCATTTGACCACTGAGTCACATCCCCAGCCCTTTTTATTTTTTGAAACACGGTCTCGCTAAGTTGCTTAAGCCCTCTCTAATTTGCTAAGGCCGGTCTTGAACTTATGATCCTCCTACCTCAGCCTCATGAGTTGCTGGGATTACAGGCATGCGCCACCATGCCCAGTCCTTTATGTATTTTTTTAGTGGTTTTTCACTGAATAATATGTTTGAGAGCTATACTAACATATGTCATCTCTGGTACATTCATTTTCAACTGCTCTATAATGTCCCATAGCATGCAATACCAGTGTATCAAATTCTTGCTGTACACATTGATTTCCAATTTTTTATAATTTTAAATAATGTTTTCATGAATATTTTTGTATTCATCTTCTTGTGCACATATATGAGTTTCTCTGTATATCTAAGAATGGAATTTCTAGGCATGACTTAATTTCCATGTTTCTAGAATTACTATTGTTTTCAGCAAGCTTGGGATAGCCATGAAAAATTGTACAAGGCAAGAAGGATGTTTGTATCCTTTATTCTCAATGCAAAAAGAGGACCTCAAAAGAGGTCCAGAGTTTATGGCTCACCTGCATTGGAGAACTGAGGCTGGGAGCCACTGCAATCGATGACTACAGACTTATGCTGCTCTTCTGTCATGGCCATGCACAAAGATGTCATGGTGCCTTCATGAATTAGTCCCTGAAGACTGGCCACACTCAGAAACCTGCCAAACACACAGACTTTTTTCACAAACAGTATTGGACTATGGGAGGGAGAAAACTAAATCATTCTGCACTGGAAGGGGGAGGGTTTAAAAACGTATAAGTCAGGCTTGCTGTGGAAAAGATTCTCTCTGCAAAAACTATGTTCTTTACCTGTTAATGTCTCTCTTTGTTTTTTCATCTGATTCTTTAACCTCAACAGGAGTATAACTCAAAGCCTATGAGAGAAAAATAAAGCCTGATTGATATGTCTTCCAGTTTCCCTTATTGAGCAGCCACTCATGACTAAATGTTACCATTCCCAGTAACCACTTTACTAGACAATGACTGATGGGCATAGCCCACAAGCTCTCCAGAGAGAGATGGTTTAGCAGCTCCTTGCTAATATTTTTGTATAGTTAAAATCACTTTATAATTTTGTTTTCCTTTTCAAAATGTTTTGGAAATTACCTCTCTTAGATCAGTTCAAAAAGTAATTATTTAAAAATGTTTTATCCTATTAGGAAGACTCAGTAGGCATTTGCAATTCAGTTTTACCTTTGTAATATAATCTTCTAGATCTGAATAAATTAAGTGTGCTCTACCCTGACAGCAAGCATAGTTTAAATGAATATTCAGGGGAAAAAGAAATATTCACAGAAAGTGATTTGTCTCCAGATAACCCAAACTCTAGCCAGGATGGTGCACACTTGTAATATCAGATACTTGGGAGTCTGAGGCAAGAGAATTGCAACTTCAAGGCTGGCCTGGACTTAGAGACCCTATCTTAAAAACAAAAACAAAAAAAGGGTTGGGGATGTAGCTCAGTGGTGCAGCACTTGCCTGGCAAGCACAAGGCCCTGGATTCACTCCCCATATCATAAAAACTCTGCCAAAGTGATTCTTGATTAAGGAAATGCTCTTGTTTGGGCAATACATACCGCATGTAGCAGAAAAGTAAGTTTCTCCTGAAAAAGAAGAACAACCCTTTGGATTGGGCAAACAACATCCTCAAACCAGCTGTTCAGATAAGCCTTGGTATGGTTTTCCAGGCCCCCTTCCTAGATCAAGAGAGAAATTATTTGCTTTAATACCGCATAAGCCTTCCTATTAGTGGACTCAAAACATTTTCTTCACTGTACTCTTGACAGTGAAAACTGGAACAGACACCTCGTTTTTTTTAAAAGCTAACACCACCAGTTAAAAAAAAGGAATTGTGATATAGCTTTCCTGGGAATTTGAATTAGTAGAGTTCTATGCTATTCCTCACTGGGAAGAGTTGGGCATTCACATGGCTATCCCTCCCTACTACATTGGAAGTTCTCTCTTAATAATCCTCACTGCCTCAGCACCTGGCATAGTGTCTAGAACATGCATAGCAAGACTTATTGACTACTGACTAAAGGAATGTAAATAGATAATTCGTTTGTACTCAAAAAGTTCAGCCCTGGTTTCAATCCTTAGTATCAAAAAAAAAAGGAAAAAGTTAAGAAGAAACAACAACCCATCAAAACACTCAAAGCCCACTTGTTGTCAGACATGCCACCATGAACACATCTGGCTTTCGGCTGTGCTGCTTTCTGAAGACTAGTGTCACATAGGAAGAAGTTTCAGTCTGGGAAAGCAACATCCCCAGACTTGAATCCCTGGCTCACCCCTAAACGGATCCTTCCTTTCCTCTTGCAGTATCATAGAAGTACATGACAAGTAAAAGGAACTATTGCTATGGATAATGGGTGATAAATTTTTGAGTCATAACTTCAACAACTGCTCCAAGTTGAAAGCATAGCTTTTAAAAAAGTTTGGATAAATTAGTCAATTTGGAGATATCTAATTCATAAAGGATTGATGAATAAAAATGCAGTATTTCTAAAAATCTTTGATGTTAAGTCCAAAGACAGCTATACTATTGCACAGCATGTCTCTGGTGCCAGAGGCTGCACAGACAATTAGTTCTGACCAGAATATAAATCTTATGTGCTTAGAAATCAGTAAAGGTGTATCCTCTTCCTCTCCAGACATGCTATTGAATTTAACAGGTAGAAGTCTTCATAGGAGTAATTCATCGCAAGCAGTCTTGTGAAACTTTCAACAATTATAGGACTATGTTCCCTCCTTTCCTTAAAAATCACCAGTCTACTAGCCTACAAGGTCAAGTTTTTAGAATTCAGGTGTCTTTCTATCTTTCTATATGACTTGACAAGTACAAAAGTCGTGGTTGGTTAATCATTTCAGTCTTACAAAATTTTAAATCTATCATCTTACCTCACAGTTCATGTTATTTTTTAGCCCTTGAATGTACTTGTCCAGTTCAAGCCTGAAAGTATGTTCTTAAGGAAGTAATAAAGAATGAATAATCAAGACAATGTCTTATCTCACACAGGAAATGTGAGATTGCTCAAATAATGTAAACTGTAAATTAGAACAAGCCAAGGCAAATGGCCACAGGAAGTATGAAATTCAAGCACATACATAAAGGCAGAGAAGCTTGGGGAGGGTAGTAGATAACTCCTCCACTTGCCTTCCCACATTCTCCTTCCTGATTCCCTTAGACCAAAGAAAGGATATAGCTCAAGGCCTTTTTCAGAACCTCCTAAAAAACAGACCACATACTCTGTAGGGTTATATTCAGAGCCCACTGTTGCTGTTTCAGGAAGCAGTTTTCCTTGTTGGAAAAGACAATAATAACAACCAACTCGATAACCTGGAATTCTGAAAAAGAAAAGAGTAAAATATAATATTTTGATAACTCAGGCATCTTATTCTGTGGACTGGGCTGCATCTTTATTTATTTATTTTTTAATAGTTTTTTTTAGTTGTAATTGAACACAATATCTTTATTTATTTTTATGTGGTGCTGAGGATCGAACCCAGGGCCTCGCATGTGCTAGGCAAGTGCTCTACCGCTGAGCCACAACCCCAGCCCTGCTCTGCAGCTTGATCTAGCAACACCTTTAGACTGCCCACTTCTTCAGAGCTTCCCAGACTTGTCAGTTTACTCTTAACAGCAGAGGGAACATGATTGTACACCCCAGATGGGCTTTGGTGAAAGCAGTCCCTAACACAAACTTTTCTTTGAATTCTCCTGGGTTGTGTGCAAATTTCACTCTTGTTCAAGGTATACACATATTTACATGAATATAAACATATTCCTTGAAATTATGGCATTTGCTGGTAAATGGATGGAACTGGAGACTATTGTGCTAAGTGAAATAAGCCAATCTCAAAAAGCGAAAGGCTGAATGTACTCTCTGATATGTGGATTCTAACACACAATGGGGGCAAGAGGGCAAGGGAAGAATAGAAGTACTTTGGATTAGACCAAGGGGAATGAAGGGAAGGGAGGGGGACAGGAATAAGAAAGACAGTAAAATGAATTGGACATAACTTTCCTGTGTTCATATATGAACACCAGTGTAATTCCACATCATGTACAACCACAAGAATGGGAAGTAATACTCCAAGTATGTATAATATGTCAAAATACACTTTACAGTCATGTACGTCTAAAAAGAATAAATTAAAAAAAAAAAAAAGCAAAAAAAAAAAAATAAGCATATTCCTCTTCTTCCTCAAACCTTCACAAATCACTAAGCTCCAGGCACATGTTCCAGGTTTACCCCATAGCCTCATGCTTGGGCCATGGCTTCAAACTCTTGTGTGTCAACTTCATGATCTAAAGCAAACCATAATCAAGAAGTATAATGGAAAGACAACTGGAATTGGACTGAGAATGCCTATGTTTAAATGTGAACTCCATCAAGGTAACAGTTCTGTAACCTCAGGCATCCCATTTAACTTTTCTGAGTTTATTTTCTCATTTGAAAATGCAAACAAAAGTAGTGCTATATCTCCTCTTTGTAAGGAGAATTGTTCCAAAGTTTGGGAAAACACTTTATAACTGTAAAATATACAATTTTGGTTTTAGTAATTAACTCTTCAAAGTACAAAAAGCACATGTAGGTGCCAGTGTCTCCACGTTCAATTAACCCCATTCCATAAATGTTTACATGTGAATCCCAGCACGTGGGCTCTCGGAAAACAACAATACACCGGGCAGTTCTAGTAGGAGAAATTTTAGAGTTTCTCATTACTTCTCATATTTAGCTCGGAAACAAAAACTCAGGACACAGCACATTTTATACTTACCTCAGCTCTACAGATGCAACATTACCCAGCCCTTCAAAGATGGCTCCTTTCGAAAGACGCTTAGCAATGAAACTACGCAGCTCTGGCTCCACTTCAGATGGTAAATTAGTATCCACCAAGGAGAGGCTTAACAAATGAAAGACACACATTCCTTACCAGGGGACTAGGGCATTCACACTTGTGAGTCAGAAAGTATGATACCAAAGCCAGGGTCTCCCTTAAGGACCTAAGAAGGTTACCTACCTAATCCACTGGCTACTGCTATAGTCTGGATTTAGAATGTGCCCCAAAGGCCCATATGCTAACAGTTTGGTGCTACTGGAAGATAGTGGAACCTTTAAGAGGTGGGGCTTGTTGGAGAAAATTAGGTTATTGGGGGCATTCCCTGGGGGCATGCCCATGATGGGGATATTAAGATCCTGGCCTCCTCCCCTCTCGCCTCTTGCTTCCTAGCAGCCACTAGGTGAACAGGCCTCTCTACCATGTGCTCCTGCCATGATGTAGTGCCAGAAACTCAAAGACAATGGGCTGAAACCTCTGAGATCATGAGCCAAAATGAACCTTTTGTCCTTTAGTTGATTATTTTAGCTATTTTGTCAGTGATTGAAAGCTGAACAACAACAATGAGACCTCTAGGAATGTATGTCACCAAGTGTGACTTATTATCAAACAGTTTAAAATATTACTCTCTCCAGCTCATTCAATTCTGCAGTACTGGCACTCTGCTGGAATCTTTTTTTTTTTTTTTTTTTTTCGGTACTAGGGACTTAACTAGGGGCACTTGCCACTGGACTATACATCCCCAGCCCTTTTTAATTTTTTTTTACTTTGAGAAAGGGTCTCACTAAGTTGCTGAGGCTGGCCTGGAACTTGTGATCCTCCTGTCTCAGCCTCCTGAGTAACTGGAATTACAGGTATGCTCCACCACTCCTGACACTCCACTGGAATCTGTTTTTTTGAGGGGAGGGGTCACCAGATAGATCTCAGGGGCACTCAAACACTGAGCTACATCCCCAGCCCTATTTTGTATTTTATTTAGAGACAGGGTCTCATTGAGTTGGCTCAGGGCCTCGCTGTTGCTGAGGCTGGCTTTGAATTTGTGATCTTCCTGCCTCAGCCTCCTGAGCCGCTGGGATTACAGGCGTGTACCACTGGACCTGGCTTCCACTGGAATCTTGAGCCCACTGATTCTCTTTTTATTTTTTGAAGGATTTACACATTTTCATTTTTTTTTAATCTTTATTTTTATGTGGTGCTGAGGATCGAACTTAGAGCCTCACATGTATAAGGCAAGCGCTCTATCTCATACCACTGATTCTCTTTTGACAGTCCCTCAAGTTTCTCCTCTCCTCACTTACTTTCTCCTTACTCAGCTTAAGTTTGCTGGTCAGTCATTATAATCACATCCCTGCACACATTCTTCTTTTTCTTCCTTTCAACGTTATTGAGGTATAATTGATATATAAAAATTGAGTACTAGGTTGGGTTTGTAGCTCAATGGTAGAACGCTTGCCTAGCACCTGTGAGGCACTGGGTTCAATCCTCAGCACCACATAAAAATAAATAAATGAAATCAAGGTATTGTGTCCATCTACAACTAAAGAAGTATTTTAAAAATTGAGTACTGTGCACATTCTCCTTCAATGAGCGATGGTCTGGCATATGCGAGGCCCTGGGTTCGATCCTCAGCACCACATAAAAATAAATAAACAAAATAAAGGTATTGTGTCCAACTACTTCTAAAAAATAAATAAATATTTTTTAAAAAACTTAAATAAAAAAAAGTAGAGAGAACAGTAAGTTCTCATGTTCCCATGATCCAGTTTCAACAGTTATCAGCTCATGGTCATCTTATTTCATCTTTACACACATATTATTCCCCCCATCCCAGAAAATTTTGCAGCAATGTCCCAGAAATGATTTCATGCATTAATTTCTCACTATGTATTTCTAAAAGATGAAGATTTTTTTAAACATTTATTTTTTAGTTTTAAGTGGACACAATATCTTTGTTTTACATTTATGTGGTGCTGAGGATCGAACTCAGTGCCTCAATGCGAAGCAAGCACTCTACCACTGAGCCACAACCCCAGCCCTAAAAGATGAAGATTGTTTTGCTTGTGGTGTAGGGGAGCAAACCCAGGGCCTCATGAGTGCTAGGCAAGTGCTCTACCACCGAGTACATGCCCAGCCCCTGGACTTTAAAAATATCTACGTATATACTATTATGACACCTGAAAAATTCCTTAAATCATCCATTTTTCAATATTTTTGTACTGCAATGTGAATTCATTCACGTACAACATGTCAAAATATATTCTACTACTGGGTGCAGTGGTACACACCTGTAATCCCAGCAGCTTGTGAGGCTGAGACAGGTGAATCACGAGTTCAAAGCCAGCCTCAGCAAAAGTGAGGCATTAAACAACTCAGTGATGCCCTGTGTCTAAATAAAATACAAAATTAAGCTGGGGAGGTGGCTCAGCAGTTTTAAGTTTTAAGCAGTTTTTTTAAGTTTTGAGTACCCCCGAGTTCAATCCCCAGAACCAAAAAAAAAAACAAACAAAAAAATTCTACTGTAAAATAAATAAATATATTTTTAAAAAAGGAAAATGGTTAAATATGATTATGACTATTACATCATAGTTTCTCATACATTTACAGATATAAAATTTATTAATAAATCTTTAATTTTACATGTGCTTTATTAAAAAAGGTGCATTCATTCATGCACTTAATAACAATGTATTAAACATCTATCCTGTGCCAGGCACTACTCAAGGGACAAGACAGGGAGACAAAAATGAGATAATCCCTAATGTCCTGGAATTTCCATTCTAGTGTATGGTAAAGGAGCTACTAAAGAATATCCAGGGATGGGGTTGTGGCTCAGTGGTAGAGTGCTTGTGAGGTGTGTGTGAGGCACTGGGTTCAATTCACAGCACCACACATAAATAAATAAAATAAAGGTACACTGACAAGTAAAAAAATAGTAAAAAAAAAAAAAAAAAAAGAATATTCAAAGGGAGGAGGAGAGGGTTTAAATTCAAATCTTTAAAAAATTTTCTGTCATAATGTTATTGTATTTTTTAATACCTTTATTTTATTTATTTATTTTTATGTGATGCCGAGGATGGAACCCAGTGCCTCACACATGCTAGGCAAGTGCTCTACCACTGAGCTACAACTACAGCTCCTTAAATTCAAATCTTGATCTCAACCTGATATTTAAAATTTTACTGGAGTTCTAACCAAAGAACAGAATAATTCTTTTTGGTTAATCACAGAGTATTAGTATTTGGATTTGCCCCAGCCTCCAGTGAATGCCCCAATGAGAGAGAGGTTCCTAAAGAATAGGAAGAATTGATGGTTTGACTCAGAGGAGATTCAGTGGAAATAGTGTACCTACTGATATCTACAGGCCAGAGATACACAGAAGATGAAACACATTACGGTGTGGGTAAGTTGGTTTTACCTGAAATCATCACCAGAGGGAGTTTCCAAATTTGTGCCACTTGGGCTTCCATCATCACTGTCCCCACGTTGCTGTGCCAATCTGCAAGCCAAAAAAGCAACAATTTTGCTATCAATTATGGGCTCCAAATCAGATGGAGTCCTTGCAAGAAGGGTAGTGCAAGGAGTCACGTAAAAAACTGCAAGATTAAAGTGCATGGGTCCTCTATTGCGTTGCTGCAAGACAGGGAAAACCCATAACACAGAGCTGACAAGCGCCTTTCTCTCGCCAGGCTACCTAAGGGGTGGAGGAGAGGCCTAATAGATTAAAGAAGCGACTCTTTAAAACAACCACCACCAGAATTAGCAGGGCCAAGAGAGCCCCTGGAACATCAGCCAGGAGGACAGAAAAGATGCAGCAAGGACAAAGAAAACGGGGTGGGGGGATGTGACAAAAACGGGGGAAAGTGGGGAAATGGTGACCAGAGGACAGGGATGGGGATTGAAATTACTGAGCATGCAGGAACTGTCCTAAATAAACGGCCGGGGCGAGAAGCCGGGCTGAGATGACCTAGGGTCAGTAGGAGAGCAGGGGCTAGGGAAGGCCTGGCAGAGAAGTCCAGGCTAGTAGCCAAGAAGAACGGAGTGAGAGCTGGAGGGCCCTTCGGGACAGAGACCGTGGCTGGGAGAGGAGAAGATGGCGTTTGGGAGCTGCCAGGCCGCCAGGCCGGGGAAGGGGTGTAAAGCCGGGCATTGGGCCCGGGGATTAGGGGGACCGCAGGGGCGGCCGGGCAGGCCAGGCCAGGCGCCGGCACCTGCTTCCGCGGTAGCTGTAGAGACAGTAGTGGCTGCTGGGCGGCGGCTCGAGTTTCCGCTCCTCCGCAGGGCCGCCCTCCTCGCTGCTCTCTAGTTCCTTTTCATCCCCATCCAGCGATTCCTGCAAAGACGGGAGCATTGCGGCGGCCTCCGAGCAGTTCAGTGTCGCCGCCAAACCGATCCCCCGCGGCCGTACAGTCCTCGATAGCCAGGCTCGACCGGCTCCCCGCCCTCGCACACCTGCGTTCCGCTGGTTTCCCTGGCCCCGCAGCCAGGAAGCTGGCCCGAAAAAGAAGGCGTTTTTTCCGGGAAGGACCCAGCAAGCTTCCTGAGTTCCCCCTCACCGAAAAGCTTTTACTTTCTTCTTCTTCTTCTCTCTCTCCCTTTTTTTTTTTTATTTTTTATTTTTTTATTTTTGTAATGGGGATTGAACCCAGGGGCGCTTAACCACTGAGCCACAGCCCCAGTCATTTTTATTTTGGGACCATGTCTCCCTAAGTTGCTGAGGCCCTCCCTAAATTGCTGAGACTGGCCTGGAACTCAGGATCCTCCTGCCTCAGCCTCCTCAGCTGCTAGGATTACAGGCTTGCGCTGCCAATCAGTTTTTATTTTGCTTTATTTTTATGAGTTGATTGATTATTGATTGTGGTGCTGGGCACCAAACCCAGCGCCTCTGGCATGCTAAGCAAGTGCTCTACCACTGAGCTGTATTGCTGACCTCAAACTTGGACTCCTCCTGCCTCAGCCTCTGGAGAATCTGGGATTCAAGTGCGTCTCACCAAGCCTGGCTTTTATAGTTAATATTTATTGAACACTTATTCTGTGTGAGAATTATTTTAAATGCTTCACAAATATTAACGTGTTCAATTCTCCCAACCCCATGAGGTGAATATTACTGTCCTGCTTTACAGAGGAGTAACCCTGGGGCTGAAGTTACTTGTCCCCAGTCAATAGATAATAAGTGGCAAAATGGCATTCTAACCTAAACACTCTGGCTTTAGAACTTAGTTATTTTTTTCTTTTGGTGCTGTGGGTGGAACCCAGGGTTGGTATGTGCTAAATACACTTTGAGCTTAAGAGCTACAGCCCCAGCCCCTGAATCTAGAACTCTGAATACCAAAGAAATGAGTTAAAGGTGACTTGTTGGCATAACATTAAGTTTTGTAATCATTCAAATGAATGCTTTTTAATTTCAGCAGCTTGTTTGGTTGGTTGGTAGGTTTCCATATTTTGGAAACTTTTTCTATAGGTCTCAAACATTTTCATAGGCCTTTAAGAAAATACTGTATGCCCAGGGGATGGATATGCTGATGGTGCATTTTGAAGACAAGAGACTTTTTCAAGATGGGATTTTAGGTCCAATATTTCAACTTGAACTAAAACCCCAAGTGCTACCACTAACTAAGCTGTATGACTTTGGGCAGTTTAGTAAGCCACCATGCATTTCAGTTTTCTCATGTGTGAAATGGGAAAAATATTACTATATTGGATTAGAGGTTGCTGGGAAGGGGCAAGGAGGAGCAGTTGGGAGCGATTATGGAGGGATACTAGGAAACTTGCACATGATGGGTATGTTCATTATCTTGATTGTAATGAGGGTTTCATGAGTACATACATATGTCCAAACTTAATTGTATGCTCTTGCATGAGGCCTTGAGTTCAATCCCCAATACCATATACACACATAAATTGTGTGCTCTGAACATGTGCAGTTTACATGAGTCAATTACACCTGATTTTTTTTTTTTAATCTTTAATTTTTTAATACTGGGGATTGAACCTAGGGTGCTTTACCACTAAGTTACATCCCTAGCCCTTTTTATTTTGAGACAGAGTCTTTCTAAGTTGCTGAGGCTGGCCTCAAACTTGAGACCCTCCTGCTTCAGCTGCCTCAAATGAAATTACAGGTGTGCACCCCATGCACACTTTGATTTCAACTTCTAGCTTCTAGGACTGAGGGAATAAATCGCTGTTGTTTTAAGCTACCTAGTTTGTGCTACTTTGTTATGGCAGTCAGAGAAAACTAATACAGAGAATTCCCTCGTATGGTCCTTTATCCAACTCTGGTCTGGATCTCTTTTTCACATTTGTCTCTGTTGGGTTCTATTTTCCTGGATTATGGTTAATTCTCCAACAGCATCCTATGAAAGGGTAAATATGAGGCAACTTTTTTCAGCCCTTGCATGTCTAAAAATATATTCTCACATGTCTTTGTTATATCATCATGCTTGATTAGATATTCCTCAGAAATCAGATTTTAGGTTTTATATGATTGGATATTGAATTCTAGGTTGAAAAGAATTCAATATATTTTGAAGGCTTTACTTTTGTTACAATGCTTTTTTTTTTTAACTTATACTTTCTATCATTTTTGTTGTGGTGGCGATGGTGGTGGTGGTTTTTGTTTCTTTTTATTGTTGTTTTGGGTACTAGCGATGGAATTCAGGGTGCCTTATCATTAAGCTATATCCCCAGCTCTTTTTATTTTTTGTTATGAAACAGGTTCTCATGCCACAGGCAGTATCGCATGCCTATAATCCCAGTGCCTTGGGAGACTGAGGCAGGGGGATGGCAAGTTGGAGGCCAGCCTCAGGAACTTAGTGAGACTCTAGGCAACCCAGTGAAAAACCTGTCTCAAAATTAAAAAAAAAAAAAAAGAAAGAAAGAAAAGAAAAAGGGCTGGAGATTCAACTCAGTGGTAAAGTGCCCCTGGGGGATAAATCTCCAGTACAAAATAAGGACAGGAAAGGCGGGGTAGAGATAGGATCTTGCTTAGTTGCTCAGGGCCATACCAAATCACTGAGGCTGACCTCAAACTTGTGATCCTGCTACCTCAACCACCTAAGTCTCCACCATGCCTGGCCCTCTATTGGGTTTTGCTGAGTTTTTCTTATGAGTGGATTGGTGTTACGGGTTTTGGGGAGGAAAATCACAGATGTAAATTATTATGTATCATTTCATATCAAGGGTACATATTCTCAACAAGATTTATTACTGAAAATATTGACCTTGCTCACCTAGCAGAGGTAGTGTTTGTCAGACTGCTTTACTGTAAAGTTACTGCCTCCCATCCCCAGTACTCTCTGGAAGGAATTTGCATTCTATGTAAGTGTGTGAACAACCACAGTTAAGGAAGGAATGGGGATTCATGTTCTCCTTCTTGAGGGCAGAGTATCTATATAAATTATTTGTAGTTTTTCTGTAAGGTGCATTTATCTGTTCTTTCCCAAATATTCTAAATGTCTTCCCCTAAAGACTGTTCTTAAAATTTTTTAATTGACAAAATACATGTATTTGCTCAAACATGTTTCTCGGGTCTAATGGTTATATTGGGTTATAATGCAATATGTATTAATTTTCTTGTTCAAACTATTCCCAGCTATGGCCATTGAGAGCTCTTTCAATAGGCTCCTTTGTCTCTTTGACATAACCCCATCTCTGTAGGTGCTATTAATTGTTGTTGTTTGGAGTACTTTCCCTTTTTTTATTTTTAGTTTTAGATGGACACAATATCTTTATTTTATTTATTTGTTGTTTTATGTGGTGCTGGGGATCGAACCAGGTGCCTCACACGTGATAGGCAAATGCTTTACCATTGAGCTACACAACTCCAGCTCTGGAGCACTTTCTTACTTTCGACACTACTTCATTCTCCAAACTCATTTTGTATATTTCCTGCTTCAGTCCTAGAATCAGCCATTACTCTAAGGAGCCCAGATTGCTTTTATTAGATGATGGTATTATAAAACAAGATATGGGTGCTAAGTGTCCTCTGGGACCTCATGATTTCCAGGTCATCTCAGAGTAATGAAATATGTGTGTGTATGATAACCTTGGTATATATGCACATTTATAAATACTTCCATATGTAACTATTTAAAAATAAATATGAATTCATAGTGATGTTTTCAACTCAAATCCATTGCCTCTTGGAACACTGAAACCTCCTTGCTTGTCTACTAATTCCCTTTAGAATAATGAGATACCTGGCTCTAACAGTTCACCATCCATTTACTTAATCCCAGTGTTACCGCTGTTGACTGGCGATGAGTCCTTGCTTCCCCAATGTTGAAGAATAGCACCAGAGAAGCACGCTGAGGCAAGGTCAGAGTAGAAATTAGAAGTTTATTAAAGGACAGCAGAAAGACTTCTCCCGGAGGAAGAAGGGGACCCAAGAGATGGAATCAGTGGAAGTGCGGTTGTCTCTCCATTTTATAGTTTTTGGTGATGGAATGTAGGTGGGAAGGCGGGAAGGGTTGGGACACAGGTGGGCCAAAGTAGTAATCTGGGCGGGAAGGACTTCATTAACACTTCTTTGGGATGGGCTATCTTTAAATCTGCTGGGGCTGTTTATTAACATTTCTTTGGGATGGACTTTGGGCCTAGGGCTTTTCTTGGGACTTCCTTAACATTTCAAGAGTTTCCCAGAATTCATTCTCAGCATGGCCTGCATGGCCTGCATGGCCTCCATTTTAAATCTTACTCGAATGTTAGACCCGATTTACCTAACTACACTGACTACCTAATTTTAAATCTGGCTTCACCAGTATACATGTATGGCAGTGTAAGAATTTTTAACCCATAACCCATGGGAAATAACTTTGTCAAATAGAGTACAATCCTTGGGCTGGGAATGTAGCTCAGTGGTAGAGCGCTTACTTAGCATGCACAAGGTCTTTGATTCAATTGCCAACAACCTAATCCCAGACACTACCTCATTTTAGTTTTTATTTTGAGACAGGGTTCTTGCTTAGTTGTTTAGTTGAACTTGTGCTCCTCCTGCTGGGATTGCAGGCAGGCACATGGCTCTCCGCTCTTTTTTTTTTTTTTTTCTTTAATAGCAACTTTATTGACTTATAATTTACATACTGCACAATCATGCATCAGTGGTTTTTAGAATATTCATAGTTATGTGCAACCATCACACTCGAGATAGTCTCATTACTTCAAAAAGGAATCCTGTATGCTTTAGCTATCAGCTCTATATTCTCCATTTTTACCTGCCCCAAACTCCCAGTCCTAAACAGTCACTAATCTACTTTCTCCCTGTACAGATGTGCCTATTCTGAATATTTCATACAATTGGAATTATATATGGACTTTAGTGAGTGACTTCTTTCCACTTAGCATGTTTTCAAGGTTTTTCCATGTGGTTTGTTTCAGTACTTCATTCCTTTTTATAGCCAGAGAATGTTCCATTATATGAGAATCCTTTGTTTATCCATTCTTCAGTTAATTTATATTTG